GTGTAAATGTATTTCTGTTGTGAAGTCAGTGATGCAGAAAACAGAAAAACAGAACACAGTGAAAGCCATGGCTTATCTTCTGACATTGTCAGTCCTCAAGAGCTTGCAGAAGAACCTAAACACCAGATGCTAACTGTTCATTTTACAGTTTCAGGTATTAAGCTACATATATTATTAGACATTTTACAGTAAAGAGCTGATTATAGTATAAGAATATACTTTGCTACATGAACATTCACTCTGCAAAGAATACCTGAGCATCTGCAAGGAAAATAAGAAAAAATGGATTTTTGCATGCATGTGATTGATTATAGGCAGCACAGCTTCACCTCATTTACTAAGCTAACCCAAAATTTACTTTTTAAAGTGAACATCCTCTGCTCTTTTAGTAAATCAATCCCGTTATCTCTAAACCAAAGTTACATTCAAAAGATTATATGTGAAGGAGCTGCTATCAACAATTACAACTGTATAATACAATTGCACACTACAATTCTAAAATAAATTATAAAATACACACCTTTAGGGTGCCATTTAGAATGAATGGCAGCGCTCATATACTGCATATTGTGGTGCATGCACATTAACGTGCATCATAAAATGAGTTAACATTGGTTAATGTTAACAAAAGTAAATGTGCCACTGAATGCTATTGCTAGCATTTTATTGTAGGCAGGGAATCCATGAAACACTTTTCATAGGCCAGTTTATGAAAATAGTGCCATTTAAGAGATGTTAATTTGAATCTACTTCTACATCATTTGAGGGTATTATGTAAACAAAAGCACCTGTTAAACAGCAAACAGAGCTTGGAAGATGAATACAATGATTGTAGCATAACTATGTAAATACAACATTCTTTTGTAATTGTTTTCTATAATGTCCTTCATTATTTTTCCTGGTTTGACACTGAAAGCATTTTTGCTGTTTCTGTCAATAGAGAGCCAGTGTCAAGCTTATGGAGTTCTTCAAGCAATGGCAGTGCCTATTCTAAACAAACTCATAGGCCTAGGCGTGTCCGCCTGTGCCAAATGGAAGTTTGCTACAGTCAGCTTTGACTCTACTCAATTTCTGTTATGCCAGCAAGAAACAACTGTCACCAGCAGATGCAAAATAGGTACAATTATTGTAGAAAACATGAATAAAAGTTAATGCACAAGCAAAACTTTATTTTTCATTTTTATATAGAAGGTTTTAGAACCCTTGTTTTACCACTTTTCGGTGCACCACTGGAGAGATTTTTCCTTACTGTCACAGTGACAACAGCCTCACCAGACAGAAAATAAGAGAAAAGCAGCAACAACAATAAAAATCAGCAAAGAAGTTGTATTGTATCAATCATACACCAGCACACCTTGGTACAGTGATAATTGTGTTAAAGAGGTTTTAAAGGCAGAAGGTTTGTTTTACCTTACTGCATTCTATGCTGCAATGTAGAACACCTTCTGTATGCAGCTTCCCCCACAGACCCTTCTAAAAAAATACCTGAAACTGATCACGTGCACAATGTGGAGCTATTTGCTCTTGGTGCTGTCAAGAGCCAGTGACGAGCAGTGGGGGGGCAGGGCCCAGCTCTGTTCTGTGTGTATTATGAACACATATGAGTGCCTCCAGCGCAAGCAGGTGGGTGGGGGTTGAGCCCAGAGCGCTTTTTGGGGGGGGGTATGTGGTTGACACCAGAAGAAGAGGATCCAGGCTGTGTGCAAAACCATTCCACAGAGCAAGTAAGTATGAAATGTTTGAAACGTTTGTTATTGTAAGAAAAAAGCAAGTGAACCTTTAATATCACTTTAAGCATCACAACCTGTCTTTTGTGACTGCAGGATCTCTGCAGTCACAAAAGGTTAATAATAATAAATAAAAGGTTAACAGGTTCTAGCATTCCCTTACTCTACGTAAAAAACAAAAAAATTGTGTTGTGCGGTTGGGATTTTCCCTCACTTCTTGTCTGGTGAACCATCCCCATGACTCTCTAATGGAGGCCCTAATACCAGTAAAAACCTGAAAGGGGTTTCAAAAAACAGAAACTAATTAATTAGGCTGGGCATAGACTTTAAATGTTATGCTCAGACAAAATGCCATGCAAAATTGAAAATCAAATTATTTGGTTCTATTTTGTCCACCCCATATCTATTATTATTACAGGATTTATATAGCGCCAACAGTTTGTGCAGCACTTTACAATGTAAGGGCAAACAGTACAGTTACAGTAAAATTGAATACAGGAGGAATCCGAGAGCCCTGCTTGTTAAAGCTTACAATCTAAAAGGGGAGGGTCAAGTGATACAAAAGGTAATAACTGTGAGGGACGAGCCAATGGAGAAAATACATGTACAGTTTTTAGGTGGAGGCAGAGTAGACAGAGTAGGAGATAGACAGATTAGGGTAGGGAACTCCATAAGATGAGGCTTGGGAGAAGTCCTGCAGTTGAGCATGGGAGGAGGTGTCAAGGGAACTAGAGAGTAGTACAGGGGTGGCCAACCTGCGGCTCTCCAGCTGCTGCAGGACTACAAGTTCTATCATGCCTCTGCAAGTCAGTAACTTCCCATCTTTGCAATGCCTCATGGGAAATGTAGTTCCAGAACAGCTGGAGAGCCATGTACCACGCTGCCCGCTACCTGCTGAACCTGGCCTGTGACCCCGACCATTCTCCGCTTGCTCCCCCTGTACCTACCTGCCCGACTGATATTGACCCGGCCTGCCTGACGACGCTTGCATTGTATGTACTGTCATCTGTGGGTGGTTGGTTGGTTTGGTTTGTTTGCACTGTGTTATGTTTTAGTATTGCACTGCGTTTATGTTTGTATGGTTAGTGTTAATAAATTACATTGTTTATAACATAATCTGAAGTCTGCGTTTCCCTGCGTCAGTCACACACCTCTGGTCATACCCGGGAGCCCTGACATTACACCAAGGCCAATCCTGACCAGAAGTGGCTGCACAGGGAAGCCATCTTGGCTTGTTGATGGGAAGGATGGATCTGGATGAGGTTGTGTATTTATATCTGCTAGTGTTTTGATGACAGAGAATATGCTTATCAGACTCTGAAGGAGTATCCCCGGGATGAACTGCTAGAATGTATACGGCTCGCTCATGTTCTAGTAGATCAGGGCACAGAGTTCTCTGAGGTGCAGCCTTTGATTGAGGTTTGTGCTGAGTTGGTTTTATCTGGTACCCCCGAATGCAGGGATGAATTTTTGCCACCATTTAGTGCAGACCAGGTAGAGTCCCTGGTGTGGTTATTAGAGGATGATGTGGGTTACTTTCTGGAGCGTTATTCCACATGTTCACCACAGACACTAAGATTGTATAAACGCAGTGCAGTCTTTGGTCAGACAGGCTTTGTGTAAGCTCAGCTTTGTTCAACCCATACTGCAGACATGGACAGACTTGTTGCACCCAGCCTCAGTCAGCTTACAAAAACCCAGTCCTGCTTCTAATCTATTTCCTCAAAGCTCTACTGCTGTATTCCCAACAGCTCCTCCTGCCCTGCTATCTACCGCATGTCAGTACCCTGGTCCCACTCGCTGCACCTATCCTGCCTTTAACCCTGTAAAAAAAGCCCTCTGTAGCAACTGCTCCCTCTCCTGTTCCATCCTCCAGTTCTTCTCTGTCTCCAGCTGCTCCATTCGTTTGCAGACCTGCGTTTACTTACAGTGCTCCAGTAGTTAAAACCAGAAAAAAGCGAAAATTCTTTCCAACCAATACCATCCTGCCAGTATCCAAACCGGTGAACCTGCCTTCCGTGGTTCAGCCTGAAGCCTCTACTCAGCCTGAATCCTCTACTCGGCCTGAATCCTCTACTCGGCCTGATGCCTGCACTCGGCCTGATGCCTGCACTCGGCCTGATGCCTGCACTCGGCCTGATGCCTGTACTCGGCCTGAAGCCTCTACTCGGCCTGATGCCTCTACTCGGCCTGAAGCCTCTACTCGGCCTGAAGCCTCTACTCAGCCTGAAGCCTCTACTCAGCCTGAAGCCGGCATTCAGCCTGATGCCTCTACCCAGCGTGATGAACTGATCCAGCCTGACGATCCTATTAGGCCAGTTGACCCGATGCCCACTGCCTTGCCAGATGACGCGGTGCCCGCTGGCAAGCCGAATGACCTGATGCCTGGTGACCCAGTGCCCGCTGTCATACCTGGTGACCCGATGCCCGCTGTCGAGCCAGACAATCCGGTACCTGATGACCCGGTGCCCACTGTCGTGCCTGTTGACTCGGAGCCCACTGCCTTGCCAGATGATGCGGTGCCCGCTGTCGAGCCAAATGACCTGATGCCTGGTGACCCGATGCCCGCTGTCCAGCCAGACGATTCAATGTCTGCCCCAGTGCTCGCGGTCATGCCAGTTGACTCGGAGCCCACTGCCTTGCCAGATGACGCGGTGCTCGCTGTCGAGCCAAATGACTTGATACCTGGTGACCCGATGCCCGCTGTCCAGTCAGACGATCCAATGTCTGAACCCAGTGCCCGCGGTCATACCAGTTGACTCGGAGCCCACTGCCTTGCCAGATGACGCGGTGCCCGCTGTCGAGCCAAATGACCTGATGCCTGGTGACCCGATGCCCGCTGTCCAGCCAGACGATCCAATGTCTGACCCAGTGCCAGCGGTCATGCCAGTTGACTCGGAGCCCACTGTCGTGCCTGGTGACTCGGTGCCCGCCGCTTCGCCTGGGGGCCCGAGACCTGTCGCTCCGCCTGGGGGGTCCGGCGCCCGCCGCTCCGCCTGGGGGTCCGGCGCCCGCCGCCCCACCTGGGGGCCTGAGACCTGTCGCTCCGCCTGAGGGCCCGAGACCTGTCGCTCCACCTGGGGGTCCGGCGCCCGCCGCTCCGCCTGAGGGCCCGAGACCTGTCGCTCCACCTGGGGGTCCAGCGCCCCCGCCGCTCCGCCTGAGTGCCCGAGACCTGTCGCTCCACCTGGGGGTCCGGCGCCCGCCGCTCCGCCTGGGGGGCCCGAGACCTGTCGCTCCGCCTGGGGGCCCGAGACCTGTCACTCCGCCTGGGGGCCCGGCACCCGCCGCTCCGCCTGAGGGCCCGAGGCCTGTCGCTCCTCCTGGGGTCCGGCGCCCGCCGCTCCGCCTGAGGGCCCGAGACCTGTCGCTCCACCTGGGGGTCCGGCGCCCGCCGCTCCGCCTGGGGGCCCGAGACCTGTCGCTCCACCTGGGGTCCGGCGCCCGCCGCTCCGCCTGAGGGCCCGAGACCTGTTGCTCCATCTGGGGGTCGGGCGCCCGCCGCTCCGCCTGAGGGCCCGAGACCTGTCGCTCCGCCTGGGGGTCAGGCGCCCGCTGCTCCGCCTGGGGGCCCGATGCCTGTTGCCCCGCCTGGGGGCCCGATGCCTGTTGCCCCCGCCTGGGGGCCCGATGCCTGTCGCCCCGCCTGGGGGGCCCGATGCCTGTCGCCCCTCCTGGGGGCCCGACGCCCGTCGCCCCTCCTGGGGGCCCGACGCCCGTCTCCCCACCTGGGGGCCCGTCGCCCGTCTCCCCCCTGGGGGCCCGATGCCTGTCGCCCCTCCTGGGGGCCCGATGCCCGCCGCCCGCTCGCCTGGGGGCCCGATGCCGGTCGCCCCGCCTGGGGACCCGATGCCGGTCGCCCGCCCGGGGGGCCCGATGCCTGTTGCCCCGCCCGGGGGCCCGGTGCCTGCTGCTCCGCCCGGGGGCCCGCTGCCTGCTGCTCCGCCTGGGGGCCCGCTGCCTGCTGCTCCCGCCCGGGGGCCCGCTGCCTGCTGCTCCGCCTGGGGGCCCCGTGCCTGCTGCCCCGCCTGGTGGCCCGCTGCCTGCTGCTTCGCCTGGTAATCCGATGTGCCTCTGCCCGGAGTCCTGCCCGATGTGCCTCTGCCCGGAGTCCAGCCCGGTGTGCCTCTGCCCGATGTGCCTCTGCCCGGAGTCCAGCCCGATGTGCCTCTGCCCGGAGTCCGGCCCGATGTGCCTCTGCCCGGAGTCCGGCCCGATGTGCCTCTGCCCGGAGTCCGGCCCGATGTGCCTCTGCCCGGAGTCCGGCCCGATGTGCCTCTGCCCGGAGTCCCGGCCCGATGTGCCTCTGCCCGGAGTCCGGCCCGATGTGCCTCTGCCCGGAGTCCGGCCGATGTGCCTCTGCCCGGAGTCCGGCCCGATGTGCCTCTGCCCGGAGTCCGGCCCGATGTGCCTCTGCCCGGAGTCCGGCCCGATGTGCCTCTGCCCGGAGTCCGGCCCGATGTGCCTCTGCCCGGAGTCCGGCCCCGATGTGCCTCTGCCCGTTGTGCCGCTGCCCGGAGTGCCTCTGCCCGGAGTCCAGCCCGATGTGCCTCTGCCCGGAGTCCTGCCCGATGTGCCTCTGCCCGGAGTCCTGCCCGATGTGCCTCTGCCCGGTGTGCCGCTGCCCGGAGTCCTGCCCGGTGTGCCAGTCTTTGATATCCCGCCAGTTACCAGACCCGGGCGGTGGAACATTTTGCCCAGCTAGGACTGTTTGGAGCGTCCTGAGGCCGCTCCTTGAGGGGGGGGTACTGTCAGGAATGGACTGGCCAGCAATAGTGGGACTCAGCTGCCTTATGAGCTGCAGTACCAGGGCTGGCCAGCGCGGGTGCTCCCAGCAATCAGAGACTCAACCTTGCAGCCAGTCAAACACCTGGAACTAATTATACTGGTGTATTTAAGGGACATTCAGACCTGCAGACTCTGCCTTGGTGTTGTGTTTCTCTTGGGCCCTGTATCCTGTTCCTGCTCTCTGTTCCTGTCTGATTCTCTGCTGACCCTGCTCTGATCCCTGGATGGTCTGACCATTCTCCTCTGCCTGACCCTCTGTATCACGCTGCCCGCTACCTGCTGAACCTGGCCTGTGACCCCGACCATTCTCCGCTTGCTCCCCCTGTACCTACCTGCCCGACTGATATTGACCCGACCTGCCTGACGACGCTTGCATTGTATGTACTGTCATCTGTGGGTGGTTGGTTTGGTTTGTTTGCACTGTGTTATGTTTTAGTATTGCACTGCGTTTATGTTTGTATGGTTAGTGTTAATAAATTACATTGTTTATAACATATCTGAAGTCTGCGTTTCCCTGCATCAGCAGTCACACCTCTGGTCATACCCAGGAGCCCTGACATTAGGTCTTGGGAGGAATGAAGAGTGCAATTTGGTTGGTATTTTGAGAATAGGTTAATGATATAGCTGGAGGCCAAGTTGTAGATGGCTTTGTAAGTTGTTAGTATTTGGAATTTAATTTGTTGGGTGAGTGGCAGCCAATGGAGGGAATGGCAGAGAGGGGTATCAGACACTGAACAGCTGGTAAGGAGGATGAGCCTGGCAGCAGCATTCATGATGGACTGGAGGGGGGATAACCTATGTAAAGGTAAGCCAATGAGGAGGGAGTTGTAGTAGTCAAGGCAAAAGATAACCTGGGAGTGAATTAGGAGCTTTGTGGTGTCATTGGTTAGGAAGGAGTGTATTTTGGAGATGTTGCGGAGGTTGAGGTGGCAAGCTTTGGAAAGTGATTGGATGTGGGGCCGAAATGGAGAGTTTATAGTCCAGGATTACACCTAGAACCTTGGCATGCGGGGATGGGTTGATGACTGTGCCATTGATCTTGACAGAGAAGTCAGGGGAAGGGGCATGTGGGAGAGGAAATATTATGAGCTCCGTTTTGGATAGATTGAGTTTAAGGAAGTGGTGTGACATCCAAGCTGTTGTGTCGGTCAGTAAGTTAGTGACACGTGAGGAGACTGTTGTGATCTGAGGGGTTGAGAGATAGATTTGGGTGTGATCAGCGTAGAAAGAATATTGAATGCCAAGGGAGGCTATCAGCTGACCCAGGGAGGAGGTGTAGATTGAGAATAAGAGAGGTCCAAGAACAGAACCTTGGGGACCCCAACGGAAAAGAAGAGGAGGAAGTAGAATTGTGACACTGAAGATGCAGTGGGATAGGTAGGAGGAGAGAACCAACGAAGAGCACAGTCACAAATACCAGGGAGTAAACTTTTTTGAGGAGGAAGGGTTGGTCAACCGTATTAAAGGCAACTGAGAGGTCCAGAAGTAGGAGTACAGAATTGTGTGCATTGGTTTTTGCTGTTAGTAAATAGGTGTGAGTTTCAGGAGAGCAGTTTCTGTGGAGTGTTGATGGCGAAATCCAGACGGAAGGGGATCAAGAAGGTTAGGTTATTCTTGATGAGATGGCCACTCAGTTGGTTATAGACCAGACATTCAAGGAGTCTAGAGGAAAAGGGGAGCAAGGAGATGAGACATAGGTTGTTAAGATTGGTGGGGTCCAAGGAAAGCTTTTTAAGTATAAGGGTGACTAGTGCATGCATTAGAGTGTTGGGAAAGGTGCCAGAAGAGACGGTGACCGCAATATTTGAGAGGGAATAGGGTCCAGGGAACAGGTGGTTAGGTGGGCGTTAGAAAGAAGTTTAGCAACCTCATCTGTAGTAGCAAGTGTTGAGTGTACCTGTGGACATGGGGTGTTAAGTGGGGGAGCTATCTGTAAAGTGGAGATTTCATTATGAATTACATTGATCTTATTTTTGAAGTGATTGGCGATCTCCTGGGCAACTGAGTGAGTTAGTGGGTGGAGGCAGTGAAGAACGAAGAAGAGAGTTAAAGGTAGAGAAGAACTGATGGGGACTGGATGAGATGATGTTAATGAGAGTGATAAAATAGGTCTGCTTGGCAGTGTGGAGGCAAGAGTTGTATTATTGGAGGGCAGTTTTTATATTGGTTGAAGTCTTTGTGAGACTTAGGCTTACGCCACAGATGCTCAAGAGAGTGGCTGCAGTTTTTGAGACTTCTGGTATTGTCTGTTTGCCAGAGTTGTGGGGGTCAGGGCCTGTTTCCTTGTGTAGTGAAAGGGGCAAGCTTATCCAGGGCAGAGGACAGGGATCTATTGTAGACAGAAGTGGCTAGATTGGGGCAGGACAGGGGTGAGATTTTGTCATAAAGATGGTCAGTAGCACAGTGGAGAAGGGAAGGGTTAAAGTGGCGAAGGTCTCTACGGGTAATTGTTAGGCAATTGGAGGGAGAAGTGGTGGAAGACATGGGGAGAGTGAAACTAATAAGGTGGTGATCAGAGAGAGGAAAGGGATTGTTGAAAAGGTTGGACGGAGTGCATAGGTAGGAGAATACAAGGTCAAGGGTATTGCCTTCAGAGTGAGTTAGGAGCATGTACCCATTGCTTTAGGTCAAATGAGGAGGTTGAACTAAGAAGTTTAGAAATAGCAGGAGTGTTAGTATTAACAGGGATGTTGACGTCACCGAGAATGATTGTGGGAATTTCAGAAGAGAGAAAGTAGGGTAGTCAAGCAGAGAAATCATTAAGGAAAGTTGATAACGGTCCAGGGGGCCGGTAGATGACAGCAATTCTTAAAGAAATTGGAGAAAATAGACGTACAAAGTGAGCATCAAATGATGAGAGAGACAGAGAGTGAAAAACCTGAAAGGTACACTGTGGGGATAGGAGGATTCCCACTCCACCTCTCTTGCTTCCACTGGGTCTGGGGGAGTGAGTCCACAAACTCACAAAGCCCTGTCCAGCATGGCTTCCGTACATACTGTATCTTGTTACTATTTGTAAGCATAATTTTTCCATACTTATGGCTTTCTCCCTTCTTCCAGTTTTGTTTACTCATACACCCACCTTAAATATTTCACCTGTGCCTTACTCTTTTTTTTATTCTTTTTTTCTATTTGTTTACTTAAGTCCATCCCTGCAAGCTTTAAAATGCTGAAATAAAAGAACTACACACAAATGGGCATTTGCTATAATATGACTCTCTACCCTTTAGTTGCTTTCATATTGTAGCATTACTTTTCAGGGATTACCTGTGGAGTTTTTTTTCTCATTTACTTGCAAATGTCAGCTGAGTGCTAAGCTGCAAGCCTATCCTATCTCCTGCAAAATGCTCCACTATTATACACTGCTAAAAAAAATGAAAGGAACACTTTTTAATCAGAGTATAGCATCAAGTCAATTAAACTCCTGGGATATTGATCTGGTCAGTTAAGTAGCAGAGGAGGTTGTTAATCAGTTTTGGCTGCTTTGGTGTTAATGAAATTAACAACAGGTGCACTAGATGGGCAACAATGAGACAACGCCCAAAACAGGAATGGTTTTACAAGTGGAGGCCACTGATGTTTTTTGCCTACTTATCTTTTCTGACTGTTTTCCACTAGCTTTGCATTTGGCTAGGGCCAGTGTCACTACTGGTAGCATGAGGCAATACCTTGACCCTCTAGAGGTTGCACAGGTAGTCCAGCTCCTTCAGGATGGCACATCAATACATGCCATTGCCAGAAGGTTTACTGTGTAAACCTCCCAGCACTGTCTCAAGAGCATGGAGGAGATTTCAGGAGATAGGCAGTTACTGTAGGAGAGCTGGACAAGGCCGTAGAAGGTCCTTAACCCATCAGCAGGACCGGTATCTGCTCCTTTGTGCAAGGAGGAACAGGATGAGTACTGCCAGAGCCCTACAAAATGACCTCCAGCAGGCCACTGGTGTGAATGTCTCTGACCAAACAATCAGAAACAGACTTCATGAGGGTGGCCTGAGGGTCTGACTTCCTCTAGTGGGCCCTGTGCTCACTGCACGGCACCATAGAGCTCAATTGGCATTTGCCATT